CATACCCAACTACACCCGACAAATTAAGTTGTATATAGCGCGTACGTTTCACAATCGGTCTGTTTAATTCTTATGCTGCATTAATTGCCCATATTATTTTATTTTATGTCATAAATCTTGGAGTATTATATACGAGTTATATATCTGCCTTCAATCTCGTTCGTTGTACACAATGCCAGCCTCATGATGGAGTACATTTGCTTCTGGTTGCATTATTACACATTTTGTCTCACGACTCCTCTGTCTCGATCCCTCAATACCACCGCACCGACCCAATTACCGCCAGTTTTACGGAACCTATGAATTCTCATTAGTTCATTCTCACAGTGTGTCAACAAATAATGAGTTTGTTGGGAGTCTGAAACCAGCTCTATGGTACTGTAATCAGTAATGATAAGAGTTGAACTGAACAACACATCAGCTAACTGATAACAATTGTAGCCGCTGTGCGTCATCTCCATGTCATGTCTCCCGCTGCGTACTATTATATATAGTTTTGTGAGTGCAAGTTAAATAGCCGTGTATAACTATAATGGAGATTTCTAATTCGTGACGTCACAGAAGGACAGGGTGTAGCTTTATGTTCGTGATGTTGTTAGTCACCGCCCATCACATAGAGTTCCTCTACTGATTGGCAGGCGGTGGCTGAAAGGAGTCGGGACTTAGGGTAAGATTTCGTCATTGACCATAGTACAATCTGGATAGTAGATTGAAGCTATATTGATATACTCAAAAACTGTGCGGCTATTTTATAGCATATAATATGCAAACACTCGCATTATTCCTCATCTGACATGTTGTAGGTTGCAACCAAATTGTAATTCGGAGGCAATAAAAAATTAATTATAAGTTGATCAGCACTTACAAAGATTAAGCTGTAAACATTAATTACTAGTGTTAGCCGTAGCGGACTCACGGAGAGGTCGCTCCGCAGTGTAGTTGTCAGAATAGAGAGTTGCCGAGAGTATCCACCCCCTGCCGAGAGTTCAACCCTCATTCTCCCACCTTCCAGTCGTATCTGAACACTCAGTGCATATTGTGATACATCGTATGTGGTGATGGTGATGACGGTGACAGTCATGATGGTCGAGATGGGAGCTGTTTGGATTAGTGTCGTGCTGCTGAGTTACCCCCCTTCTCCACGTTGATGTAGTCGTCACTGCAGGCGAGTAACCAGGGCCATGTAGTGTGAACACCTGGCCTGTTTACACCTGCCATGCACCAGTTAATTTTCCGATGTCATGATTTCTACGTGGGGCTTTTCCGAGTAAAAAGAACTTTCTTACATTTCCACCCACGGGCCTGCACGCCTTTTTCCGCTTACATAATATTTATTTCCTTGAAGCGTCCTAAAGCGCCTAACCATAATAGATCTTGCGGTTAAAAAATTCCGGCTCCAATTTTGCCAGGGATTATTTGACAAAGGGATATGGTATTATGGTAAGTGGCAGTAACCGATCTTATTGTTGGCTCCCCGTTATCAATCAGTACATCATTTGTAGTTTTAGTTATAGCTGGTGGTAGACGGTGTTAGTGTTGAACGTCATAAACATTTTAAGCGGAATATCGTAGCCAGCTTTTATTGCTTTCGTTCACAAATTGTTTTCAATGAAATTCGTTGACAGTGCCAATGTGTTTGACCGTAAAAATCATTAACACCTTTTTTATTTTTATCCACCACAAAGCTTATAACTTTACAATTTGGAAAAGATTTCTGGCTGCCTATCGTAAAAACTGGTTGTGGAACTTATTAAGTTATAAAGCTTGTACTATCCGTGATCACTGATCATCGGAAATGGTTTTTTTCTGTGCGCTCCTCCGACCCTTAACAATCATCCATATTGAACACGAACATCTCTGGAGGTAATTAAATTATTACCTCCACAAACTAAACTTGCACATGGATATTGGATACACATGCACATTGCACATGCACATGAAGTCTCCCATCTCTCTCAACTGTTAAACTCAGTTTATTTAAGTCTCCTCACAGTTAATTCCATGATTTCTGGATTGTTATCAGCACACCATTCGTGAGCATGCAAGAAACACCTGGCGTACAGTTAACCAAGAGCTTTGTCTTATATTATACAATGCTCCACATTATTTCTTTTGTATTTTTATTTGCTGGTATTTTCATTTTGTATTAGTATTGTCTTGGGATAATGGAATATGAGGGACGCACCAATGCGTTTCTCCCCTTTGTAGGTGCTATATAAGTACAGTCAGCCGGTAGAACTGTTTTAGGCCAGCAGTTTCGAGCTTTTTCTTTTCAGTTCTACCCGGTTTCTATATCCCTGTATGGCGTTCAGCCCTGAGGACGACAAGTGCATGTCGTCATTTTAACAATATCTGTCACGAAACTGACCTTCTTAGACCTGGGATCCGATGAACACCGACTGTAACTTGTTCCAAGTTGACGGGAGTTACTGAATTGTTATTTGTTTTTTTCAGGCTGTACTCTAGCTGCCGCGTCTTAGGTCATTGGTTTGGATTCATTGAGCCAAATCTTTGGGCTGGTACAAGAGAATGATTAACCTTAGCTGCAGGGTTGCACAACTTTATCATCTGTTGAGTTTATAGTTAGTGGAGTTTTAAACCTGACAGTAAATTTTCATGCTGACACTTGACAGTGATGACTAGCTGTGCCGGGGTGACTCTGCCTCTGAATACCAAATTATTTGCATCAATTGATTATAGGCTCTTGTCGGTTTACTTTGTAAATCGTACTTTTGCCGACTGTCTATTGTTCAGCTTTTAATATGAATTAAAAATGTATCTAGAAGTAGCAGTGCGAATTCGGGAGTGTGAAATGCTCTCAGACAATACGATAACTTGTCCAGGTATATTGTTTGCCGGCACGGTACTCTCGTGGTTCTAAGAATGCATGATAGTATTCGGTGATGCCACATAATCGTATAGTCCTCTCTCCCCTGTCTCTCTCTCTCTCTCTCTCTCTCTCTCTCTCTCTCCATCTCTCTCTCTCCTCCTTTCTCTGTCTCGTTATAACCATATTATCTATTTTGTTCCATTTCTTTTAGTTTTGGTGTATCACTATTGGACATGGATCTATTGTATCATTATCAGTCTGTTATACTGTGTACATTTCATTCGAGAACAATTATCGGTAATGGAGATCATGTATACGGCTGATGGCCTCATTTGCCACATGTCTCTATTCTCATTTGCTTCTCTCTTACTGGTTCACGTAGATAATTTTTTTAATGAACTTAAAATTTCCAACTATGTTAATTTAACGCATAAAAGCACTGAAGCTCGTTTCTGACTTAAGTTGAGCGTATTTTGTGTTAGTTTGAGAGTGTTGAATACCAGCTGTATATTTCTCTACTTGTTGTCCAGCTAGAGATAGGCTAGTATGAGGGTATTTACCCTGCACGCACAGATTAGTCAAGGTATCGATTATGTTGCACTGGGCGGATGATTAAAGTACCGTCACTTGGAAACCAGGTCGTCACTTGGAAACCAGGTCGGTAAACATGAAGTTTATAGTGGCTGCCGTTAGATTGACATATATACTCCCTATACTTTAATAAAACGCTCTAAGTATACGCTCTATTCCCCAGTATTTCTTCTTGCTTGCCTATCAAGCTCTCAAGGAAACCAACTGACCTTACACACGCAGTAAAAGTAAAAAACCGAATTAGTGGTCGCTAATGTCTGCCTTTTGGTAGAGATTACAAAGGATATGTGATCGATACGGAGGCATATCTCCGGGTTCAGTGATCTTATGAAATAAGGATTTCTTACTTCATCTATGCTAAACGTGTTCCAGGGGATTGTGTACAAGTTAGCAATCGTTAATTGCATCGTCTAACCTCAGCATTGCTAGATGTAACGGAGAGTCCGCCCGCTCACATACTATACTGATGCTAGTTTAATGTCATGAGATTATCCTGCGTTCATGTCAAAATTTCTGTCTGGCGCCGCTTTTCGATCCGGATCTCGCAAGCAGCACCGTAAGCTTACTGAGGCCCAGAAGCAACCTGAAGTCACCCAAGCTATCGGATTCAGAGATGATGACTCTCCGAAGGTATCAGAGCCGGGGGATTAACTTTAATCGAAATTTTTCTAACTTTTACAAAATATTGATGTCGAAAATTTCCTTGATCCCCCAAAGGACTAATTCTTAATTATTTGCTGATTGTTTCTTATTATTTTTTCATTTTTGGCTCAATCGCGAAATGCAGCGCCCTAAATTATTCCAACTGTCGTCGCACGAATCTATATTACAACATAACATTCTAAACTGCACTTCGATGAAATTTGAAACGCGCGCTTGCTATATTCCACCAACTCTTATTTCATTAAAATTAAACTGAGTTTTCAAGCAAGATTTATTGAATTAGTGTTACAGTTTAGGAACCGACCGGTCTGGGATTTTGGCTGGGTATCAATATTTTTTCCGGTTGGCCGGAGTTTGTTTCAGGTTGTCGGAAAGTTTTAGTTAATCCATTTTAGACCTCTAGCAGTTTAAAATGTGGTTATAGCCCCCAATATACCCTGAGATTCTAAGCTAATGACCCAACATGTAACCTAATTGCCGACATCAGATCCCGAGACATTTTATTTGGCACCTTTATTCGGAATTAAAGTTTCAATTATTATTTTTTCTGAAAAGATCTGAAATTTCCGAGCTCAGGTTAGACGTCAGATGATATAAAATCTTTCTGAAACGTTTTGAAACTTTCGATCTCGAGCACTGGCTATTGGACCCTGCGATCCGAACCTTATGACCCGGCATGTAACCCAGCATGTAACCTGAGTACCCGACATAAAATTTCCAATGATTATTTCCGGTTGATATCCGGCCAATCACTTTCTAAACCGGACCGGAACCAGATATTGAAGCCGGACATCCGGCTGGAACCGGATTCAGCAGGATATCCGGTCGGTTCCTATTACAATTTAAACTTTAAAAGGGGTTCAAACTTAAAATCATTAGTTTTAGTTTTACCAACTAACATACGATTTACTTTCAGACGTTCAGTCTTGTCAACAAGCGTATGGGGAAAAAAGTTTTCTTCCGGTTCAGCAAAGAAAAGTCCCTATTCTTTCTCTCTTATACAAATCCAATTAGACGATTTTGTATACGACTTATATGTACTCAGTGGTTCGACCATTTCATTATAGCTGTTATCCTTATCAACTGTGTTCTTCTAGCGGCTGATACAGATGAACCGTTTATCGAGTAAGTTTTCTGCCTTTTTTAGCAAAATTTACTTTTTTACTTCAACAAAACTTTCTGACTTCGAGAAATATTTTGATAACCTTGTTGCATGTATTTTTTTCCTATTTTTTGATATCAAAAAGAGTTTATAACGTTCATTTTCAGGTACGCCTTTGCAGTAATTTATACAATAGAAATGATTCTCAAGGTCTTGGCTAGGGGCTTTGTTTTCCACAAGCACGCGTATCTAAGGGATCCTTGGAATCGATTAGATTTTGTGGTAGTATTGTTTGGGTAAGTTGTTACTACATTTTCTTCCGAATATTGAACTGTAGATTACGAAATTGTTTTAAAGAGCTTTTCTAAAGTGAGCACCAATTTATTCGCTGTTCCACCTATCTCAAAAACTCCTTATTCGAATTGGTAATCAGCTCTTTTGTTGATCAAACGAACTGATTATTTTTACTGATCTTACTATTATTCCAGATATCTAACATTGATTGATCAGTTAAAGGACTTGTCATTTATAAAAGCGCTAAGGGTGTTAAGATCTTTGCGGACGATTACAGTGGTACCAGGTCAGTAACTATTTTTTGTTTTGTCACGGTATATATTTACTTTCTAAAAGTAATATTAATTAATAATAAACATAATCAATATACTTCATGCAAACCATATCCCTTTGAATTATTATCGTCTAACTTAAGGAAGTTTTCTAAGAGACATCTCACACAGGTTTGCGGATTATGGTAAACTCACTGCTAAAATCTCTGAAGAATCTCTCAGACGTGATGTTGTTAACGCTGTTCTTCCTGGCTGTCTTCGCCATTATCGGCTTACAGTTGTTCATGGGTCAGCTCAAATATCGTTGTATCAGAAAGCCAGATCTTGAAAGCGAAGAACCTGGACACCAACACCACTTGTGGTGGGGGAAGAATACCACAGAAACTTTCGAGTTAACCGATGATGTGAAGGGTATGAGACGGGAATTTTTAAACAATCAAGATAACTGGATACCTGATGCTGACGACCCCATTATCTGCGCCCTTCCGCGATCACCGTACGAATATTTTGCATTCTTTTGTGGTTTTTCATCTTTTAAAAAAGGAAAAAGTGTTCTTATACCGACAAAACCTCATTTTCTTTTATTGAAGGCCATTGTTTGTGCTTGTCTTATTTCTAAAATGATCTTTTCAGGGGAACACGACAGTGTCCAGAACCTAGTAAATGTTTACAAACGGACATCAACCCTAACGATGGATACACGAGCTTTGATAACTTTGGTTTTGCGATGCTTACCTGCGCTCAGCTCATCACTCTCGACTTCTGGGAAGATGTTTACGGCAAGGTGCGTGATCACTAATTTTCTATAGTCTATGCTGACCTCAGTGGTTTTAATCATGACCGCGAGTTAGAAGTAAACGTCAGACTACGTCTACTACTTTTTTACAAACTTTTATAAGTTTACGCTTCTCACGGGTGCTCCATTTTAAAATAAACTTAGGAAACTTCTCGCTTCTGTTCGGTTTGAACTGTTAGTGGAAGCAATAAGCTTAGTGTACCTCGGCTTACTCGGTTATCCGACAGTTGACCTCTAAGCTTATTATTGATAGAGCGTGGCATCACGTTTTTTGTACATGATTGTGGGCTAACATGGCTAGTTTGAGGTTTAATCATCTGATCATGCATTGCTCACCATCGTGCAATTTGGATTATCGGATACCGATATTGAGCATGAAGTAATTCAATCTCAAGAGTATTTTTGTCTGCTATATAACCGAGCCTGAATTTAAAGCAAATTACAGCAATCCTGCAAGTTACACTTGTGGTCCTACAATGAGGCTTAACATTTTCCTCGTTCTATCCGTGGAGTAATAAACTGTTTTTCAGGTGCTCGGATCAAGTGGAGCTTACTACATCGTCTACTTCCTGTTTATCATCTTCTTTGGGTCCTTCTACCTGATTAACTTGGTCCTGGCTGTCGTAGCTATTTCCTATGAGCAAGAAGTGTTATCTCCGCAAGAAGAAAAGGTAATATTAAACAGATTGTTTATCACAACATTTTAGTTCAGTTCAATTGTTACTATAATAATAGCTGATATTCTAATGAATACACTTGGCCTGATGCTGCTGTTGAAACAAACAATAAGGCTGACCTTGTCCTTAGATTATCATAGTTTCTAAACATCCCATCCCGCAGTCTGGTCTACCAAACTTAGACGACGATGGGGACGAGTGCAGCTTCGTGGAGGAAGACGAGTATGATCCGGTGGACGGAGAAAATCACGACCAAAACCACCACGGTGATGGCGAACTGACCAAACGTCCTGAACAACGTGGCTTCTTTGGTGCTCTGAGATCCTGTTGCTGTTGTTTCAACGAGCCTCTCGCGAACTCTGCTCTTGGAGTTGACCCTGAGAACGGTACCATGGCTATCACCATGTCTCCTACCAAGGAAACGTGTGTCGACAAGTTCACTGACATTTGGACTTGGTTCAGAAGTCACATTAAAAGCTTTATCTACAGCTTTTGGTTTGAGAACGGAATCATGATGTGCATTGTCATCAACACCCTCTGTCTTGCTCTTGATTCCCCGAGTATCGGTGACGATCTGGATGGTATTCTCTCAAAAGTTAACGACGTAAGTTAATATTAATGGTTTTCAAACAAGGTTACAACGAATTCTTCATGTAGTGCATCCTGGGTTTGGACAGGATATGCACGTTTAAAATATTTCCATCATGTTACATTACATAATTCTTGAAATAAATGTAATAGATTTGTAGTGTTGTAATTAGTTTAAGATGCTACTTATCTTACGTGCAATTAGGAGACCGAGAATCATTTGTCATCTTCAAGTTTCTTATTTGACATACTTTAAATTCTCTAATAGAAAGTGAATTAATTTGAATCTACTTGCAGTGCCTGACGTGGATCTTCACAACTGAGTTGGTAATAAAGCTTGTTGGCTTACTTCCCACCGAGTTTTGGAAAACCAAATGGAACATCTTTGATACGATAATCGTGATAGTTTCCCTTATTGAGTTACACCTGGACACATCTACCTCGTTCAATGTTTCTGGATTGCGGTCCCTCAGAGTGGTAGGTCAACAGTAAGGCTATCTGACTTTTTAATATTCGTTTTTCCTAATCTTGCTCATTTTCTGTTTGACATTAATAATGTCTACCCACCACACTCAATATTGAAACCTTTTTCAGCTGCGGGTATTCAGATTGGCAAAATCATGGAGTACGATGAAAGCCCTTATTGACATCATTGCTGAGTCGATATCTGGCCTGGTGTATCTGTCCATTATTTTAGGCGTGGTGATCTACACCTTATCTGTGATTGGTATGAACCTGTTCCAGAATGAGTATTCAGAATACTATAATTCAGAAACTATGCCGCGCTGGAATTACCAGGACTTCTACCACTCGTTCATCTTACTCTTCCGAATTCTGTGTGGTGAATGGATTGAGCTTCTCTACGAAACATTGAATGCCACAAATGGTGATCAATGGCCTGTCATCTTTTACTTAGGCGCTTTGGTTCTCGGCAACTTTTTAGTCCTCAATCTCTTCTTGGCGCTCCTGCTTAACGCATTTGGGGAGGAATCTATCAAGGAGAAAAGTGGAGCGGCAGCGGAAGCTAATGACGGAAACGTCTCACTAACACAGAAAATTAAAAACAAGATATTTAACATCAGAAAAAAGAAGCACAAGCTTGCCTCAGAAATAAGAATGTCTTCACTGGCCCTGAGTCCTGCTGATCACATGAAAAGTCCCTGCAAACATCGTGGAAAACCGAACGGTAATCCCTCAGATGTGGATGGAACAAATAACAACAATAACAACAAGGCTGATAACGATCATGATGCGGATGAATGTAAGATATTTTACTGTTTCGATTATTTGTAACGATTCTATCAAAATCGCTTGACTTATTTTCCACTTTTTCCTGATCAGAAAGTTAAATATTAAACCACATGATGCACACACTAACTACACACTAACTACACACTAACTACACACTAACTACACATTAACTACACATTAACTACACATTAACTACACATTAACTACACATTAACTACACACTAACTACACATTAACTACACACTAACTACACATTAACTACACATTAACCACACATTAACTACACACTAACTACACACTAACTACACACTAACTACACACTAACTACACACTAACTACACACTAAATACACACTAACTACACACTAACTACACATTAACCACACATTAACCACACATTAACTACACATTAACTGCCAGATATGTCGAGTGTGGACGAGCACGAAGGTCACGACCGTTACAGCTGTGATGACTGCTGTCAGTGCTGTATGATCTGCTGTAGGCCCTTCTGTGTGTGTTGCTCCAGATTCCGAGCTGCAGTGAGACGGGTCGTGGAACATCGAGCTTTCGAGTGGACCATCCTCTTCTTGATCATGGCGTCAAGTCTAACACTTGCTTTTGAGGACATCACCCTGGAGAAAGCGCCAGTGCGGAAGAAGATCGTGGAAACTCTCAATTTGTTCTATGTCGTTGTATTTACCATTGAGATGTGTCTCAAACTCTTTGCGTTCGGAGCGATAACCTACTTTGAGTCAGCCTGGCATTGGATCGATTCCCTCGTTGTTGCAGTAAGTTTGATTTCGTTTAAAGTAATCATTCTGACTTTTGTCATTGATTTGTGCCACTATATTACACTTTGTCATAATTCCATGTGATGTGCATTGTCCGTGTCATTATTCGCATTAAATTACACTCTCCGCAGATATCGATCGTTAGTATTGTAATAAAGAATGTTGGATATGGTGGTCTGAAAGCGATCAGGGCTCTCAGAGCCTTGAGGCCCCTGAGAGCTATCTCTCAGTGGGAAGGAATGAGGTTATCAGTCAACGCTCTCATTTCTTCAATTCCCTCCTTCGGTAACGTGTCCTTGGTCTGCTTGGTCCTGTGGCTTGTTTTCTGGTTAGTTATATTTCTTTTAATTTTCACTTTTGAATTGAACCTCTTGTTGTTGACCGATGCAAGCTACTTCATGTATAAAAACATTATTATCGAATTTGTACACATTTCAGTTTATTTAATCCTCACAGAGAGTAATAAATACAATTTTCAGTATATTGGGCGTGCAGTTCTTCGGAAACAAATTTTATAAGTGCGTCGATTCCGATGGACCAATCGAAAACAAACCAGCTGCTGGTGAAACTGGACTTGAGATCGAGAACAAGACTCAGTGTATCGCTAAATACGGAGAAGAAGCTTGGCAAAACTCCAAGATCAATTTCGATAACACAGTCATGGCATTCTTTGCTCTGTACCAAGTGGTAAGTGTATAAATCGTGTAAATCTGTATTCTATTCCAGTTAAAAGATGTTTCAGGATTTGTTTCAGGATTTGTTACTGTAATAAAACATGCTTATGATTTGTGACAATAATTCTTCAAATTTCAGGCAACATTCGAAGGTTGGATGGAGGTTATGGATGACGCAGTAGATTCGGTGGACATTGACAAACAGCCAATTTTCGAGCACAGTTTCATCGCCTACCTCTTCTTCCTGGTGTTCATTTTTGTCGGATCCTTCTTTACGTTAAACTTGTTAGTCGGTGTCATCATTGATAACTTTAACAGACTAAAGAAAGAGGTCAGTGACATGAATGGCATTTTTGTGATCTATTGTATCATACAAGTTATTTTACGCCTTAGGTAGTGTTTTGCAGTTGTCTTGAGTTCCCACATTCTTTTTTAATTAAATTCACCCTCTTCATTTGCACGTTTTCTGTTACTTTAACTTTTAGCTGTATGCCTGATGCTCCACCTTTGTTTACTTTTTAACAAAATTCTATTTATAACTATATTTGAATTTTCAGTACGAGGAAAAGGGACAGCTGGGAGTACTTCTGACCCCTGCTCAGCGCCGATGGATGTCCACTTTCAGAAAGATGGCTAAAACGAAGCCAATTCGTATGGTCACTCGTCCTACTAATAAGTTCATGAAATTCTGCTACGACATGTCTGAAAATCAAAAGTTTGAAGTTGTAATAACAATCATCATTTTGTTGAATATGGTCCAAATGAGTATGGAGCACGATAGTGCTAGCCCTGAGTTCGATGAGGCCATGACGTATGCTAACTATGTCTTTACTGTTATCTACACGCTGGAAGCCATCCTCAAGATCATCGGCACCCGCAAGTTTTATTTTTTCAAGTCCTGGAACATTTTCGATTTTGTGATTGTCGTGTTCGCCTGGCTGGGAATTGCCATGGACGCTGTCATGAATGACACTGTGATCGACCCTTCGATTCTTCGAAGTTTCAGGGTTTTCAGGGTTGCTAGGATATTGAGGATTATCCAGATGGCAAAAGGAATCAGGCGTCTGCTCTACACCCTTATTTGTTCTCTTCCTGCTCTTATAAACATTGGCACGCTTTTGCTGCTTATCATATATATCTATGCTGTGGTGGGTGTGGCGATGTTTGGCTATGTCCGAAGACAGGGAACTTTAAATGACCAGGTTTTTATAAGATTCTTCACGTTTTTTTCTGCTTAATATCAAACATAAGAAAATCATTAAGACGTGTACTTCGTATGATTTTTCATGAAATACACATTTACTAAATCACTACTTCTCAGGTGAACTTCGAGCGAACGCCTTCTGCGATTGTCCTGATGACGAGGCTAGCTACATCTGCTGGCTGGAACGACGTCCTGGACTCCGTCATGGTCTCACCACCTGACTGTGACGTTAACTTGTACGAAACAGCCGGTAACTCGTCCGGAGATTGCGGCTTCAAGGGATTTGCTATCGCCTACTTCTCATCCTTCGTCCTCATTGCTTTCTTGATCATGATTAACATGTACATTGCTGTTATCTTGGACAACTTCAGCGAAGCCCAGCAAGCCGATGAAATCGGAATAGACGAAGATGACATCAATCTTTTCTATGAGAAATGGAAAGTTTTTGATCCGAAAGCGTCACAATTTTTGAACGTCAGTAAATTGCGAGACCTAGTCGGACAGTTATCACAACCATTAGGCATACCAGAGGTAACGGAGGACGACATCCTTCAATTAGACATACCACTTTATCCTTCCGACAGAGCCCACTGCATCGACGTTCTTCAGGCTCTTATCTCACGAACTCTCGGTCCTAATAACAATACGGATGAATTTGATATGATAAAAGAACTCATGGCCGAAAGCTTCAGAGCGGCCTTCCCAACGCTAGCCGCAGAGGTTGTTGAAACAACGACCAAGCAACGATTGAGAGAAATAAGGGCTGCAATAGTGTTGCAGAAAGCATTTAGGAGGTTTAAAAACTATAAGAGAAATGAGGCTTTAGAGGGGATACAACAAACTAAAACGGGTTCGCCAGAGTCAACATCTCTGCATCCAAAAGTTTAAAACGTTACCATGTAACTCTATTGACTATTTTTAATTATTTCATAGTGCGGGCGAATTATAAAATGGCGATGTTAGTCCAAAAATAGTACAGATACCTCTAATCATTGCTTCAGTTGTTCTAAGTAAATTAACACTATCATTTACTGTCTTTTTAGTTTTTATTTCTACATTATCATTTCCAACACTTGGCGTGGACTTTTATCAAAATCTTTTAGTATCATTATATATACATATAGTTAATTTGGGAAGCACTATATTTCTTCACTTACCTTTGATAACAGTCAGACTTTGAATCTTAGAAATTAATTCTGCCGACTTAAGCAAAGGCTGGATTTTTGTTTTTGTTATTTTATAGTATCCCAAAAAGCAGACGACGAATCAATCAGGCAAGTTGGTCACAATCTTCGACAAAGGATAAGACATGTAAATCGAGGGCTTGTATTATATGCTAGTTTCCATCTGTAACCCTGAGCGCGAGATCAGTGGGAGAAGCACGGTCCCGTGACGCGTAACCTTTTGTAAGTTTAACTTATTTCGCCAAGTTTAGGTTTGTACCGAAGATTTATGTTTTTTAATAATTTTGTATCAAAGGAGTCGTTTCATTTTCCCCGCAAAATTCCAACTAAATTGGTTACATTTTTTAGTATTACATTCAGTATCAAAGTTACTGTATTTGACTGGCGTGTGACACACGACACAAAATCGATCGTCTTCAATTCTATCAGTACTTCTATAATACAGTATAGATATCTTTCTACAGTCATATAGACTGAATTATTGAGGAATGCAAATGAGTACAAATCTAAATGAAACAATAAATGGATCGGGTTGTGTTGTGTTTAAGACAGCTGTGGTATGAGCGACCTTTGTGCATCCTAACGATTTTAACCTGCTAAGCGTGTGTCACGTGGTTATGTTGCGTGTCACGTGGCGGCGCTTTTGCTACTCTCATTTCTAAACCAGTCAGTCATACCTAAACCATGTCCTTACCATATCCATATTTAGACAGGGTTTCACCAGCCGCAACGAGTTACACTTACTGTGCCCTTCCATCAAGATCATGCATAATTCGTATGTTGTAGCTCCTCGAAGTTCCATCTAATCCACGAATGTCATGTGGGATGATCCAGATTAGGTTAATACATTAAAGCGTAGAGCGGTGGACAAATTTGCACGATCTCTCAAAATAAAATGCATATTTTTCAATATTTTTAAAGATTCATCGGCGGTTCAGCTATTCGGCTTTTGATGTAAGTTGTAGGTATATAACTATAAGTATAACCTACCAAGACGCGCGCCGAGTTTGAAAATATTTAAGAGTATCGCGATCACCTGTTAAGATGTAAGCAGCGAAGCTCATGCCCATGGTCACAAAAGATTGACTAGCAGTATAAATTAAAAGATTCGATACGAAGCGCTTTTATAATTTTGGTCTTCCGTGTCTCTGCGGGGCAAAAATTATTTTATCCACCGAATCCCCATTACATAACTAAAGTATTTAGAATTACCTCAGCTTGCTAGTCTGTAGTAATTTGCTTATATATTACCTTTGCTTATATATTACCTTTCATCTTAACGGGTGATACTCGTAAAATATCTGTTCCAACTCGGCGCACGTCCTGGTAGGTTGTAAACCTACAACTTTCATCGTGATCTTAATTCTTTTTATTTTTCAATAAATTCATGGTGTGATGTGTGACTGTGACTCACTGACCTATAACTTGATTGACGATGTCAACCCTCCAGATCGTTGCTCTGCGAAGCAGAGCAACGATCTTGTCAGAAGCAATGATCAGAAGCAACGATCAGAAGCAACGATCTGATCTTGTCAGAAGCAAGAATGCTAGTTCGCGCGGCGCGTCGAAGCGGCGAAGTCCTCCAAACCTATGACCTAGCTTGCTGATCTTGATCTCGCTTTTCTCGTATGCAGATGAAGTGTCTTATTATTATTAATCAGATTGTTAATCTATTGTTCATTTCTCTTATGGGCCGCGCTCAGTTTGTCATTCCGCCATAATTTCATTCGGTGTGTTTATGCATTATATTTGATATTTATGGACACTAAGCCTGGACTGGGTCTATAGCTATAAGTATATTTAGTATAAAACGTCTTTCGCGGATAATACAGGTAGTGTTTAAAGTTAAACGAATACAAATGTGCGTTGAACTTGATTGAATTGCATAAACGATGTCAATCCTTCGCAGCTCGTAGCTATGCGGCCCAGTCACCAGTGGTGCATCGCGCACCGATCTAACTTAATTGACGATGTCAATTCTTCGCAGCTCGGCAAGGCCCAGTATGCAGTAGCGCATCACGTCAATCTTGCAAGAATCATTATTGGATGCGCGGCCCAGCAACGCATCGTGCTACAACGATCTAAAGATCCAAGGAAATCTTACTGGCTGGCTGTGTTACTATACTAGAGGTGATAATTTTTCAATAGCATATTTGTCGTCGCGCGTGACATAAAAGTAGTTGACCATTGTTAATGGTCTGGCCCGGCGCGCGCTACTTCGTAGCACTTGCCGTCGAGAAAAAAGCGGCGCGCGCTACTTCGAAGAAATTTAGACGAGTAACATCCGTCAAAAAAGTCGCTGCTCGCACGCGTTTTACAATCTGAATTCAGCCAGAGAGTCATGACAACCACATTAATTTGCTTAGTAATTATAAATGATAAAGCTAAAATCATACTTTTCGGGATAACTCAAAATCTACAGTATCCCCAATTTCCCTCCTGGGCCTGAGGAGGAAACGTTATTTTTATGAAGCGAGCATTTTGCAAAAAACCGGAAGTCTCTGACTCTCCATCTCTTCTACTTTCGAAGAATTGGGCCCCAGCCAGTAAGGTTTTCTGGGATTGCGAAGAACATGATTTTATGCGCGGCGCGGCCCAATTAAATTAATAAATATCGCGCTACAAAAATATGCGCAGACTCAAGACTGCAGAGTTTGACTTATATCACGTGGTGACCCCCACTGTCGCTTCACTATAGTAGAGTTTCTACGATACAGAGGGAGCCGCGCACTCGTGCGCGGCGGGTCATACAACGTATGACAAAGTTTGACTTGATTCACGATGTCAATCCTTCGCAGCTCGGTGAGGCACAGTCTAGTGGTGCATCTCGCCGATCTACCGAAGAGAAGAATTATTTGATGCGCGGCGCGGCCCAGTAGTGCATCGCGCTACAAAGTTTGACTAACACTAAACTGTATGCGTACCATACAAACAATAAACGTTGTCAAACGCTGCCCATGACTCAGCATCTTTGCGTCCATCGTATAGTTTCATAAACGTTAATTTTAGTTTTACTTCTAGTGTTTATTAACAAACCATTGCATGCGCTTATGATTTAATTTTACTCTAACCCTGGTCGGGGTCCTGAACAATTTGATTTAATTGCTTTATTGGCCCACATTGTAAGCAGTAAGCCTGCCGCGTACAACACACAATTATGAACTACACAAGTGCTTGACGGATGTTACTCGTCTAAATTTCTTCGAAGTAGCGCGCGCCGCTTTCTTCGACGGCAAGTGCTACGAAGTAGCGCGCGCCGGGCCAGATCATTAACAATGGTCAACACAAGTGCGTGACTTGGAAATGGAGTACTTCGCCGCTTCGACGCGCCGCGCAAACTATCATTCTTACTTCACATCGACGAGGTCGTTGCTCTGTTAATTGACGATGTCAATTCATGGCAGCTCGGCGCGGCACAGTAGCGCATTTCGCCGATCTAGCGAGTGCGCGGCGCGGCACAGTAACGCATCGCGCTACAAGTTGCTCTGTTAATTCGTTACCTTGTACCTGCATGGGGACCCCAGGCTATTAGTATTATATTTATGTTCATAATCATATAGATTAGGCGGAATGACAGGCTGAGCGGCGAGCACCGCCCAGTAATTAATTCGCAGAGCAACGATCTGGAAGGCAGAATTGAAGGGCTGACATCGTCAATCAAGTGCGTGAAAGCTATTTGTAACTTCACAGCGAATAGCCATGAAGTAGGCTAGGTATCGCGACGTCGCCCCACATTTTGGGCCCGCCGCGCACAAGTACGCAGCTATATCCAATATCGTGGCTTTCATTCCTGAAATGAAGATCGCATCGTGAGACAATCGCGACGCGTAAAACAACATGTCACGTGATAAAACTGAAACAGCTTTTTGTCATAACTTAACTGCTCAGCTTTTTCACCAATAAACCTTCGAAGTATAGCGCTACTATGTACTATTAAATATAATACTTTGAAGAATAAAAAGCGGCTCGCGTTTCTCTGAATAAATTTAAACAAGTATCATTGATCATCTGTCATCATATTAATTAATAAAGTCATGTGGGTGATTTGGAATTATCGTGCGGGCTTGGATGACTTTGCCGCTTTGATGCATGAACTAACTATTTTGCCTTTTTAATATTGCTTCGCAGAGCAACGATCTGAAATTGACATCGTCAATCAACGTGTGGGCGTTCAAAATATTACATTGCATTGATTCAAATTGTTACTGGGCGGCGCTTGTATCACGTCGTGACCGGCCCCATTGTCGTTTCACTAACTGGTAAAAGCCACGATACAGCCGCGCACTGCAATTCTCTGCAATTTATAATTTACCAAGACGCGCGCCCAATTGGACTCGTCGACGGTCTAGTTTGGAACAAATATTTTAAAAGTATCATCCGTTAAACAAAGCAAAAATGCGGCCACTTGGAAAACGTTTGACAATGCATGTTTATAATTTCCCGGCAAGCTGGCCGCCGCACAAGGGATATGCAACGTTTATGTAGCGGCAACTTCACACATCCTTCACACCAACATCTGACTTACAATTAATTTGTAATTATAGTTGTACAAGTTTATATTTCTTTAATGGGTGATACTCGTAAAATATTTGTTCCAAAGACTGTCGACGAGTCCAACTTTACGATCGTCGATCAGTATCACCCGTTGGCGTTAAGCAAGATCCGGCCAATCAACCAAGTCCTACTCCAAGCTGTGATTGGTTCAGGGCCTAGGCTTTGCATATTACTAATTAATTGTTGTGTAAATATTTACTGGGTGGTGCTCAGCTGGTTATGGCCTTGAGAGTAGAGAGTTAATGGAGTGGAGATAGTGGAGATAGTGCAGATAGTGGAGAAAGTGGAGAAAGTGGAGAAAGTGGAGAAAGTGGAGAAAGTGGAGAAAGTGGAGAAAGTGGAGAAAGTGGAGAAAGTGGAGAAAGTGGAGAAAGTGGAGAAAGTGGAGAAAGTGGAGATAGTGGAGATAGTGGAGAAAGTGGAGAAGGTGGAGAAAGTAAAGATCGAGAAAAAGTATGAAGTTTTAAAAGTCGATTTTGGAGATGAAGATCGAATTTTAACAGCCACATCGTGGTATATTTTAGAAACAAAATTAAATTCTTAACTTTCGTATGATATTTTCAAATCCAAATTTGACTTAATTGGTGACGACTTATGATTTTTCAAAGCCAAACTCGAGGATAAACTGAAGAAATATACATAGATGCGGAGTTCGTTGATTTTTGGCGTAGAGTTCGTGGAGTTCGTTCAAAATTTGGAGTTCGTTAGAGTTCGTTGGAGTTCGTTAGTCAGTTTAGCTC